CATATAGACCTATAAGTCTCCTCCCTGTGATGAGCAAGGTACTGGAGAACCTCATGATGTCTAGTTTATGCTCTGTTTTCGACAGAGTAAGCCATCCATGGCAATATTGTTCAACTAGAAGCAGAGGGACCGCTGATGCCCTGCTAAGAATGTGCCAAGATGTTGAAGAGAGGGCGGAGTGTTATGTTATGTTGCTACTTTTTGATATATCCACTGCCTCGACAGTCTATGCAGAGATATGATGCTCCCAGCAATTATATTCACTTGTAAGAAGCTACTTCCAGGACAGGCATGTCAAGTAGGTAGAAGCTACGACTATGAGGTAGAACCTTCCATAGAAAGGGGATGCCCTCAGGGATCAGTCTTTGGCCTTGCTCTGTAGAAGCTTATCTTTGATGAATTGATGGAAGTGGTTCCTTGCCACTGCCTAAGTTGATGACCTAGCTGCTGTGGTGGTCTCAAACAGTAGAGCTGCAGTCAAACGAGAAGCAGAGCGATGCACTGGCCTGGTCACGATGTGGTGTGAGGAGAAGAAGATGCGGGATGGCTGCTGCGAAGACTGAAGCCATTCTCCTCAAGGACAAGACTGACAGGGCACATCCTATAATTATAGGACATAGACATAGAAGGCGGCCACAGGATAAGTCCAAGTGAGATGGTAATCTACCTAGGAGTAAGGTTAGGTTTAGGCCTAGATGTGACACCTCATTTGGAATATCTGGCAGGTAGGGTGGCCCTAGCAATGAATGGTCTTACTCTTATGGGAGATGCATTCTGGGGCCTAGGTATCTAGCTACAATCATGATTTATAAAAGGTGTTGTAGAGGATATCCTGAGGTAAACGTCTCTCTTCTGTTTTCAGAACCTCACACTAAGACAAAAAAAAGGCTAGCGTCGACTCTGAAGAAAGCTCTGCGTCGGGTCATCAGAGCATACAGTACAACTTCACATGAAGGGGTGCAGGTCCTAGTGGGGGTGGTGCCTCTTGACCTCCTCCTGCTAGAAGAAGTAACAAAATATTTGTATAAGAGGGAAGGCTCTACAGTATTTTTGGACAATCTGTAAGTAAGGATTATGGATTCGCCCTATTAGATGGAAGAAGGTAGTCCGGGAGGACACGATTGAAGAATGGACCGGCGGTGTGTAGCTACCCCTAAAGGAAGTATATTGAGGAAGTCCTTTCCCAAGGTACAGTCGAGGCTTCAGGGAAAGTGGGTCCTTCCAGACTACTGGATTTCCCAGTTCCTCACTGGGCATGGAGGATTTCCAGCTAAACTTCATGGTCTGGGCATTGGTGTAGATCCTCCATGCCCAACCTGTAGTGTTCTGGAAACTGTAGAGCATGTGGTCAAGACCTGCACTGGATTTGAAACATTAAGAACGACTATGACAAGAGCCACAGGAATCTAGAATTGAAAATGTGTTTCCTCAGTTAGTCAGTGAGGAAAATTTCCCACGGTTTAAGGAATTCATAAAAGAATGGAAGACGGCCGTGGGCCCAACTCACTTCTATATTGGTGCCCTCAGAAAAAGAGGACAAGCACCAAGAAGACATCTAGATTCTGGAAGCTAGGCTGAAACCGCTAAAGAAGAAGGAAGAAGATAGAACAGAAGAACTGCAAGCTGTGTGTACATCCTTTCTCAGTTAACTGGATGGGTGGAATATATAAATAAAATAATAAAAGAGGTTGAGATGAGTAAATGAAATTATTACCATTTTGAAAGTTGGCAGAACATTGGAATGTGAAGACAAATGAATTCAGTGCCACAAAGGAAGAAACAGTGTTTATAGAAAAAAGGTCAGCTTGCCAATTCATACTTGAGTTTATTTTAAAATCAAACAGTGTTTAGTTTAGTTAATTTTAGTTTGTTTAAGTCTTTTGATCTGATTGTCAGTAATTCACACCTGAGATAAAATATTTATGAAGTTCAGTTTAATATATCAATATTCTTATAATTTTGTTTACTATTTAACAATCTCTCATTTCTTTTGGAAGTATCGCAACAATATAAAGTGATCTTCCAGGAGTTTTATTATTAGTTAAAAATATAGATATTACAAAATATATGTGCGATAGTACAATATATGTGTTCATTTTATACAGTGGTATGAAAAAGTCTTTGAATAAACCAATTTTTTTTTTAAATGATAAATATTTCAATTTAAAAGTATTTTTAGCTTCTTCATTGTAAACTCATAACTTTACTGACACTTTAGATGTAATATATATTTAAAATATGATTATTTTCAATTAACGCAAGCCAAGGGACCAATCCGTTGTATTGACTGTTTTTTATTCTTTAAATATATATGCCTACATACTTCCAAGTCAAGAAAGTTCAGAAAATATGTTTAAAAAGACAAAAAAATGTGACTGATTCCGAAGGTCTGAATTTTTTTTTAAATATATAAAAGTATTTTTAAAAAATCCTATAAATGGAAATAACACAATATTTACATTTTATTATTTGGACCACTTGGCTTACGACCTCCTTAGTTACTTTTATAGAGTTGAATTTCGGAAGCTCAGATATTGCTCCATCTACAAGTTGCCTTTGTTAAACTGTTTATCTCATAAAATAATAAATGTTTGGCTAGAAAATTTGATAATATTAGTTGTAGAATCATTTTCCAAATTCTAACATTTAGCATAGATCACTGTCTATATGTGTGTCCCATTTTTGTTAGTGAGGTATAGAACTTAATTCTGTAATAGTGCACTTCTAGCACTTGCTATCTTAATTCTCACTCTAGAAGAAAACTTGCCCAAAATTAGCTTTATTGTAAATATGTATATTGTGCATCAGTAATTGCTTTTTAATTTTGTTTATTTAATAGTTGCTTTCATGTGTCGTAGATAATGATTCTGCGAAATAAAAGCTTCAATTATTATGAAAGCAGTTGAATGTTTGTTGGTGTTTTCAATGGAAGGAAGGAGTTATTTCTATCAAAAACTTACCTGTAACAATTACCCAATTGAATTTATTTATAATGGTTCCTAACTAGGTTGTATAAACATGTTGCTACATTTAGTGGGTTAACGTGTGCATACAACATAATTACCTGACCATCTGATAAATTGAAAATATGAGTTCGAATCCTAGTGCTAGGATGACTTTTAACTATGGTATTATTCCCCCCCCCCCATCTCCTCTGGCTGGGAAAAGTTGTGGTTATACGAAAAGGCGAGGAAGAGGAGAAAAATGTTGATACAGATTGTATCGGTATCAAAATTAACAATATCCCGTAACTTGAAAAATATGTGCAGTTTAGTTGTTGGATATTACTATTGTAATTTATTCAGACAGTGAATTTTTCAACGTTTTTTTATTATTATTTTCTCTGAATAGCAGTACTAGATCTAAATATTGTCTTTTTTCCATCAATAAATCTTTTGTTTTAATTTGTTTCTTAGACATTTCTTGACATCTAATATGTTAAATTCATTATCTCAGCAAATGCTTAGCAGCAGTATATCTAATTACACTATTTATTATTCAATTTAATCTCTATATTTAATATTAAGGTTAATATGATGAACCTGTTATTAATGTTGGTAATTTCATCTTTGAAAAATATTTAAGTTGTAAACTGGTGAGTCTGACAACAGATTTTATCATTTAAAAAAAATAATGTTTAGTTTACTTTAAAAAAAACTTAGGTACTTTCAGAAAATTGCCCTTATTCGTTAATAGTCTCAAATTAAGCCAAAGCTGTTTTTTAAAAATAAAACGGGATATGTCGTAGCTATAATATATTGTATATGTAATGTACTGCTCCCGATTCAGGAATTTGATAAAAACAATTTTCAAATTACAAATAATTCATGATGGTGGAGATATCATTGACCGTAGATCTAATCAAGGAGAAGGTAGTTAGAGGTGAAGAAAGAATACACTGTAAATATAGTAATGATTCAATTTATGTCAGACGTTTCAGCTTCAATTGTAAACCTTCATAATAGCAATTCTCAGGCAAATCAGACATAACAGTATTTTAACTACTGTAGGGTTCTTTCTTGACTGCACCTCCATTTATCTTTTCCTTCATTATAAATAGTTTATTTATACTTCTCTATTTTTTTTAAAGTGTTAGACTTTTGGAATCTGACATCAAATTCACATTGATCATAGTGAAAAAAAGGTTCTCATTTCTCAACATATTAGTAATAATACTTTTGAAAGATTTTTTAAATTATTCAATGATGATTTAAATAATCCTTCCCAATATCGTCTAAGCCTAGAAGCAAGTTGAGAGGTGTCTAGTAGCATGTCCTAACTGAGACAGCACTTTTATACAATTAAAACAGCAAGTGTGTACTCATACACATGAAATCACTTTATGGCAGTATTTCTTAAATTTTCTAGCTATCTGTGTTCTATCCAAAATTTAAATAGTCGTATCTTTTCAATTTAAAAATAAGTGCTTCCACCTTCTGGAAATGTTTTATTTTATTCTTTGATAAATCTGTTTCTTTTTTAAAATTTTATTTTGTAAGTTATATCCACTACAAAGTTTAAATCCAATCACGTTTATACCAATAAAACATAATAATATTTATCTTGTACAAACTACCACATTAGTACTTCAATTCTGAATATTAAGTATCAAACGGTTCCCAGTTATATTGCTAGAAGTGGCAACTTGTAAAGAAATGGAAGAGAACTGGAACCCAGGAGAGACATGAAATATTTGCTACTTCCGACAGGCAATCAAATGATAGTTTCTAAAGAAGATTAAAAACATCCCCTCTCACTTTCATAGTTGCTCACAGCGTTAGTCAAGAAAGAGCTACTGCACTATTTGGATCCCCCATTATTTTTAAGATGTGATGTGTTGATGTTGCTCTTTCTCAGTTCACTGGTAATGTACACCTCTTAATTTGCACCAAGGCAGACTATTTTTAGACTATTTTTAAGATTACTTATTTTATTATAATTATTTTCTTTTTCTTCCTGCCTGATGATAGCGTGAATAACGATTGATATGTGTTAGACAGACAGGGCGCCGCCGCCGCCTCCCAGACCTTCCGCACCAGAGCCTCCCCCGCCACTTCCGGCCAAGCCAAAGCCAACAGTTGTTTCTTCCCCGGTGAGCCAGTCTTCATCAGAGGATGACTATAAGGGTGCCTTTGACTCGGTAGCCAACTTCGAAAGTAAGAAGTCTGTCTTTGAAGGGGTGTTAGCTGCTGCAGGGCAGGGACCTCCACCACCTCCTCCCCCCAAGAAGCAGCAGATAGCCCAGGATTATTTCAAAGAAGACTCTCTTCTTCATCCTCAAGTTCCTGCTCCGCCTTTGAGGCTTAACAGGAATAACCCATTTGCTGAAGACATGGAAGAAATGGCCAGCAGTGGAGGAGCCATTGTGACTACACCATCTTCCTCTACAACTGAGGAAGGAGGAAGAGGAACAGGTGCAGATGCAGATGGAGAAAACTCGGATGACAGTACCAATTTGAAATAAAATTATAACGTGTTAAATGATAATGATAATTATGTCCTCAGTTGACTCTCGATAGTTTATTTAGCTCCCGTTACGATTTCTTTTCGGCTAGGCTTCTAACAATTATTTTTAAAAAATTTTTATGTGTAAAAATTATCTTAGCTTATACAAAATTTGAAATTTCATTTCATGTTTGATTTTATATATATTTATGCTCTATAATTTCTGCTTTATATTTGATAGAAAACTTGTATAACTTGGTTATCTCTCTATGTAATTCATAGAAGAGGTTACTGTACTGCCTATTTGAAGGTGCAATCCAGTAGGAATGTATTTTTGTACACTCCCTCTTTTTTGATATTGAAACAATCCAACTGAATGTTAATGTTTTTTATAAAAGAAGTTTCACCAGTGTCAATGAAGCTATTTTGCATAATATTGACCTGAAAATAATGCGTGTTATTCATTAAAATATTCATCTTTTATCCACAAAGCAGATTGAAATCTTTTTATTCTGAATTAAACTTATTATATTAAGCCAATTTATTCATTTTGTTTATAATATAAATCTTATCATTCGCTGCTAAAGCTAAATTATACTAGATAGTTCATCTGATTGGCTTAAAGTGAGAAATATTATTATGATTCTATAATTCTCAACTTCTTCCTTAAACAAATTCTTATTTGTTTTTGAAAAATCTTTTAAAAATTTTTCTTCATCCACTTTTAAATACTATTGCTTATCTTATGCTCATCTTAAGTATGGAAAAGCAAATATACATGAGGTATTAAATTGAAGTATACCAAATACTGAAAAAAAAAACCTATAGTAATTATATTTTATAAAATGAGGACAAAATTGTTATTATTAAAACAACGAAGTATTTTGTGAAATGGTTTTATAAACCATTGTGTTGAAACATGTACTTCTCAAACGAGAAAGAAAAGTTGTCAATATTTGAGAGCAATAAGGTAATAAATGGTGAAGTAATGTATGTGTGTTTTAGTAAAAAATATATAATTATATATATATAATACAAGATAAAATAAATTTATATAATGAAAAATTTATTTATATATATATATATATGGGAGCAATATGCTCTTTAAGGGCGTCATATTCCTTGTAACACTGCCATATTATTTTATATATACATAATTACATTGACTGGCTGGGTTAAACATTTTTTGTATTTATGTGAGTTTCTGTTATTTAATATTTTTAAAAAATGAAAGAAAAATAATGTTAAAAAAATATATATCTATTTTTCAGTGAGAGCACATCTCGTATCTTAACAGTATTAAACAGATTTTTAGAAAATAAAATCAAGATTACACATATTGCCAATAAATTATAAGTTTTAACAGAAAACATAAACAGTATTTTCATGATGTTCCTAAGGTTTAAGAATTATCTTGGAGACATTTATTCTTAATAATTAATTTTTCCTTATTTGATCTAAAATTTTAAGCTATTTACAGTTGGCTTAATGTAATAAATCTTGAATTTTTTCACAACAAAATCAGAAAATATTTTTAAAGCATAAATATATGACCTAATATGTGCTCTATTTGCTTCTTGTTTATAGTTTTAGATAAGTGAGAATGAAATTAAGCTTTCATCGGTGCATTTAGGTTTGGAGGTTATACAGGTACAGGTGCTATATTGTATGTCTAATTTCAATGAATCGTGGTGCAAAATATATTTTCAATATCTGAATTATCGAGAAATCCTTTTTGAATACATGAATTTAGTGAACGTTTACCTACTTTGTGATTTTATACTCTTTTTTATTTATTATTTAGTTTTCATTTCAGAATATTTTAAGTTACTTACTTGCTCTTTAAAAAGTGCCTTTTTATCTACTGAAAACTATTTAAGAAATATAGTCAAAATTCAAGAGGTCGTTACTTCCTTACTTTAATATAAGATAATAATATTTCAAAACGGTCGATTTTACTTTTCGTAAAAAAACTAATATATTCCAAACCTTTAACAATTCTTTCCCTCCTTCTGACATTCCACTGTAATAAAACTGACAAAATTTTTTTTATTTTTTTTTTTTTATGGAAATGTAAAATTGTTTATTATGAAATATTGGCTACCTTGTACCTAAGCAAGGAAAATTAGTGTAGGTTAAATAATTTTTCTTCAAGTTAGGTCCATCCTAATTACTACTTCCCTTTCAGTGTTTTCTTTGAAACATTATATGTTTTCTTTGAAACATTATATGTTTTCTTTTATGAATTTTATTTTATTTAAGTAAAGAGTTTACATTTAATATTTTCAATGATTTTATGTTATCTTTTAAAACAATAAGCATAATTTTTTATTACTTCAAAGAAAATCTAAGTTTTCCTGCTCTTGTAGAAACTGTTTAGTAAACCTCCAAGACAGTAGTCTTCCTTTAAATGAGTGAAATTAAATAAAAATCACTTATTATTCTGATGCATTACCTGATTATTTGTCTTTTATATTATATATTAGGAGATAGTAAATAAGCAGAGGAGTATCTCACAGAGATCCACATGGGTCGTCATTAGAAATGGTTTCCCATCCCTCAATGTAACAATTTCTACAGTGATGATGCTCAATATTAATATACTTGTGACAGTAAATTTATCTGAACTTGAAACATAAAAACAAATAATTATAAGTTTTTTATATAAACTTATTGACCATTAAAAAAATCTTTTAATGTGTTTCACTGTCAATTTAATTTCTGTGTTGAGTTATTAAGCACATCAACAATGAACAAATATAAATGATATAATAATTCAAATTAATATTTCCTTTTTATTTTACAAATCATTATGAGAACAAATGTTTTGCTTTAATTAATTCAATTATATAAGAAATAACATGGTGCGTGGATGGTACTGTTATTGGTCCTGGTGGAAAGAACTAGCCTGGCTATTAGACCTTTCACATCTTTTTGCCAATCTGCTAACGACAGTGGGCATGCCAAGAATTTTTTTTTAGGACTAACTAGAAATGAATACTCACTAACCATGATGAAAATCGAGCCGATCTGCGACCCTTGTCTTTGACCCTTGTCCTAACCAGCTCGACTGTCAAGGTATTGCTAGTTTCTTGCCAAAATAATGATGTATTCCTTATGTTTAGAAAGGCATAACCTCTGTTTTTAGGAATTTCTTTCTATATTTAATACAGTTTATATTTTTCTCCTTTCAATTTTTTTTTTTTTTGTAAAATTAAATTTTTGTTAAGGTTTAGAAATTTAACGATACCATTAATTTACATGGCCACTATAATTTATTTAGTTGAAACATATAGATATGTTTTAGCGAAAACACAACACTTTAGTAACTCTTAAATAGAACATAACACTCAGCACATTCTATGCCAAAACATTTAACATAACTTTTATTATAGTTGTTCCAAAATTGCTCTTCCTCAGTTTTAATAGTCCCATGAAGACCTGTGTAACCTCCTTCTGACTGTCTAAAAAAATAACACTGGTAGGAGGCCCTCATAGTTGCCTCTGGCCAGTGGGAACTTGAAGCGCTTGTCGCCTTGCATTAAGGCCTCTCCTATACATATCTTTACTAAGATATATAATAGTACTGGGGTTCGGGTTGTTAATTATTAATTTTAATTTTTATATAAAGATGATAGCGCAGAGCAGGGAGAAAATTATTCATTGTCTCATACTGTAATGCTTCCTGATATACCATAACAAAGCTTATTGAATTAATTTTGTATTCATATTGTATTGGAAATGTTTCATGATTGTATGTTTACATATGTCAAGCTGTAAGGCCTGTCACTACATTACCAATTTAATGAGTATCCTCATGTTAGTAACGATTTAGTATAGCGATCACCTTGTATGTAATAAATGGTTCATATGTCACTAAACCATGGTCTTGTAGTGTGGAAGGCAGCTTGTATAATTTTGAATATTTGTTAGACCAGTGCTCTTCAAACTGGGCTGCGCACTACCTCTCCTAGCTTCCACAGCTTCCTGTTTCTAAACCTTTTATTTAGTATTTATTTTGATTAATAAATTTTATAAACAAATTACTAAAGCCAAGAAGCATTATAAACACTTTGAACAACACACAAATGTAAATAAAATACTAAAAAAAAGATACATTTTTTTTATGAAGAAGGTTTCAATAATATATTTTAACCATGGTGAAGGTGCAAAGAACTGAAAAAGTTTGAAGAACAATGGTTGAGAGGAACAAGAGTGAATTTAGATTTAATTTTTAAATAATACCAGTTGTTTCTTCCAACTTCTTTGCTATTTTGAAATAATGATGCCAGTAAAAAATAACTTGACTCGACTATATATCATTGCCCAACCTTTAAATAAATTGCTTTAAACTGTGGCATATGCAATGGTGAGGTTCTTGAAATATTCTAAATCTAACTGTTCTTTAATGCTTAGGTTCTGTTAATAGTAAATTTATTTTTTTTTAAATCTTAAAACGTATTTATTACTCAGTTTTTAAATTTATCATCTCATTAATTTTATTTTATGATATTGAAAAAAAATATCTTTCCTATAATAGAATTCTGAAAATAACTGCAAAGCCCAATAAAACTTAATCAGACCCTATACTTTTGTTGTTAAATGTTAAACCCTATCCAACTATTTTGATATTAAAAATCTTATTTAGTTTCTTTTGTAAGGTAGGGTTTCTTATAATTTTATATATTGTAATAATTTTATTTTATACGTAATTCTAATTTCTTTTATATATAGATTTTTAATGACATTATTCTCTCCCTTATCCATTGCTAGGAACAAATACCAGTTAAAAAATATTAAAGTACTCCTTATTAAATTTATAAATAAATAAATATCTTTAATGAAAAAAAAAATAACAAAAGTACATTAAAATTCCACTCATAACAATAACAAGTTAAGTAGGTAATTAATTTGAATTTAAAATATTTAATATGAATTATCAGTGAATTTTTCACTAGCTTTGAAAAAGACTGGCACAGTTCAAATTTAACTTTCAATAGATCTTTGTGTGTAAATATGTATATTCATTTATGTAGACATATTAATATGTCACTATTTAATGAAAAAGCTGGCACAACTCAAATATTGATAATTTTCCATTTTTGCTTAATTATAATCAACACAATGATTATGATTAAGAAAAATTAGAAAAAAAGTTTTAAGTTGTGTGAGTCTTCTTCCAAACTAACAGTAAGATATTTAAAAAAAAATTAAATAAAAATTTGTGATATTTTTTCGTATTCTAAGATCATTTTCTGGTAAAATGGAAGCTAGATAAGATGATATGTTATGGGTTTTCTTTGATTTGTATTAAACTAACATACATATGAAATTTAAAATTTTGTTTTTGTTAGACAGTCAATTCTTGTGGAATAACATTTTTTTTTTTTGTAACCATAATTTGTACTTTTAAGTAATATACTGGTTTGTAATAATTTTTACTTTTGTATGCAAAGATAATTCTTTATTCTATGTGCTTTAGTAATTGATTTCTTTTGAAATTTAAATTCCACTGAAATTTCCTACCTTGCTGTTAAGTAAATATTTATTTAAAAGTTATAATAAACTTTGAATTGTTAAAATTCATTTTGTTTTATTTTTGAATTAGCCAAGACTACAGATCAAATAGCTACTGAAACATAATTATTAAAGGTTTGATGAGTTTAAAAAAGAAAAGTATTGTGCCTTTCTTAAGATTTTTTTCCATGTTATGAAGCATAATTTATGATCTATTAAAAATAGTTATTGTTTGTAGTTATTATATTTCTGAATTATATTTATCTATATTTACTACGCATATGGTTATATCATGTCTGTTGTTAAGAGTATAATCATTTCAAATATTTTCTTTAATTTAAATGTTGCTCAACAATTATAAATAATTTATCTCAAAATTAAATAAAATAACTTTTGTAATGATGAACCATTTGCTAAAAATTAAGTACTAGTTATAGGTCTATTTATCTCAAGTTATTATAGTAATGCAGTTCATTAAAGCTTTTATATATCTCATTTGTACTGATATATTTTTGTGATACTATCATGCATGTACTGAGTTTCTTACTAAGGCCTGTAATTTAATGGAGAACATAACAATTTTAATGGTTTGTGTAACACTTCTTGTATCTTCCAGTTCTGCGCTTTTCTCAATAAAAAAAAAAATGTTCATGTATAAAACAAATTTAATGATAAGGATAAATTGCACATTAAGATTCCAAGTATGTGTGTGTTTATTTAGGGGTTATCTGTGTTAGACCCATAGTATCAGCTGCTTGTACAGATGTATATAATGTCTAAAGAATAAAAGGCTGTTCAGGGTCTTTATGGTTGAAATAGATTTTTAGATCCGCTTACAAATGAAAATATATAAATATGTACTTATATAAATGAAATAAATATTATGAGCTGCTTGGACAGAAAAATTTAACTCAATAATGAATTTTTTTGTCCTTGCAGCAATGTTTTGTTTCCTCCATATGTAATTAAGGACGGAGACATTGGTAATATAAATATTTATATCTAAATATATGTATATGTATATATATATATATATATATATATATATATATATATATATATATATATATATATATATATTATAATGAAAAGCCTATGTTATATGTTGCACAAAGTATAAATGAAATTATATATATATATAAAATGAAGGAGTAAGATTATTATTGTGTTGTGTAAATAATAGGTTTTTTTATTTTTATTTTTATGTTGAATAAAATATGTTGGGTTGGTACTAAATTGTAGTTGCACGTTTTCTGTGAGGGGGGTTTGGGTAAATTATATTAGTTAAGTTATGAAGTCAATGTTTGTTGAAATAGGTTTGATATAAATAAATCATGAATGATATTCTGTTTTTCAATGAAATGCCTTTTCTATTAACTTATTTGAATGAAAAACATCAGAATGTGTTATTGTTTGTTGAAGGTAATTTCCGAGTATTAACATCCAAGAATATTTTTCACAGCTATACACATTGTTATAATAAAAAAAAGCTTTCATATTACATTCAGTTTTAATAATTTCTAAAAATGTTCAGTAATCACCAATTATTATCTTGTGATTAATTATAGGTGTATGTTTTGAGATTAATGAAAATGTTATTTAAATTAATAAAAAAAAAGCTAACATGGTTATTACTTCATATAAATTCATTATTTTTGTCAGCAATAAAAACTTAAATAATTTTAATGCTTATCTAATTATTATTACAATATATTGACATCAATAGTATTTGATTGAGGCAACTCTATGTTGATGTTCTACATAATTATAGATAGAGGGTACATCCTTTGCTATTATAATAATAATACCTTTCGTAGTGATGGTGTGTGTGACTTTCTTTGCCATTGAGTATAATGTAACTGATCTCTATTTGACTACGTGTTCCTGCACAACAGTGTGGTACATTACCGTATAAAGATGTAAAAAACAATAAGAATTATATCATTATACATTCATCTTAAACATAATTAATTTAATTTATCTTGAGTTATTAACATGTGAAATGGAGAGAGAGAAGTTAATGTGGACAACACATGCAGCTTTGAGCAATCTTTTAGGTCATAATATGAATCAAGTTAGAAAACTGAAGATGGATATGGTGTCCTCCAATAGCAGAGCTGGAGTCAAGTGAGAAGCTGAATAAATTTACCAGCCTAGTGAGAATATGGCTAGATAGAAAGATGAGGAATCATCCTCAAGAGGGCACTGCCTAACACAAGCAATACCATCCTCCTTAAGAGCAAGACTGATGCTTATGTAGTGTACATGCTTATTCGATTATAGAATGTGAATACAAAAGGTCATAGAATAAGTCCAAGAAAGGTGGTAATCTACCTAGGATTTAATTACCTGAATATACAGCTTGACTTGGATTATTTGGCGGAATGGGTAAGGGGTCATTAAAAAAGCTTTCGGGCTGAATTCTTCCCTCCCAAATTTAAATCCTGGATCCGCCAATGATTGCAGGGAATGTACCATAAGTAGAACTAAGAAAAGTATGCTCCCTGGAGTTTAATATAAAAAAAGGCAGGATTGATCCTTGAAACATCCTGTGATTCGTCTTTCTCCATTTATATGTTTACACCCCCAGAGTAAACTGTGCCCATTGAAGCCTCCAGTACAGAGAATAGTAACTGTTTGTGGATATAAAGGTGTTCTGTCTGTATGGAACTGTCCTGGGGAAGGTTGATATTGCAAACTGTCATACTAATGCTTAAGTGGATTCTAGCTGGTATGACTTAGAGGGGAATCCTATTTCTACTTGTTGGGAATAAACTGATTCTTCAATGATAATAGTTACTCCTCGAAATGCGCGATCTCTGTTGGGCCTGCCTTTTCTGAAAATATCAAATCCTTTCGAAGTAAACTGATCAAATGATTTCAGATGGGTTTCTTGGATTTTCAGAAATATTTTTATCATTTAATCCAGCAAGCGTCGAGGGGGTGGGGGAGAGAGTGAGAGGGAGCTTCACGTTTAAGTGTAATTTTCGAAGAGGAACAGGAGAAGTTGTAGTGGTAGCAGAAGAGGGGAGTGTTAGATAACGAGTAAATTAGATAATCGATTTTATTACAGCTTCTTCCATTGATAATGTGATAATTCTCTCCCAATGTGTGTCACTTTTATATTCTCTCCCAAAAAAATAACCTTTAGATCCACCCATGAATTGGAACATAAAAGTACAACATTTATTTTTCGTTTGTTATTTGGTGACGAAATTCTGGTCCAAGCAAGATTGGCCTAAGTCGCAAGGAGGACAGGGTTCATTCTGGAGTCTCACGTACCCAGCGACATTCGATATCGACCAAGTAGTTGTGGAGGATATCCTAAAGTATGTGTCTATACGGTTATGAATTTTCGGGCTAAAGGACAAGAGGAAAACAGAACAGACTGCAGTAAGTTTAATTTTATATGATATACGATATTTATAATTTTACCTTAGGTTGGGGATATGGGCCTTCCCCATGTCTCGCTTTTGGTTATGGAACCTCACATCAGAGATAAAAATAGTTGGCTTTGACTCATAAGATGGCTCTGCTTCATATTGCAAGGGCTATAGATCTACTGCATGAAGTGGTGGTTCTCGACTTCCTCTCCTTTACAAAAGGAGAAGCTATTCAGGAATCTAGACAATCTATTGATTACAATTGTTGAAAACTATAATATGACTAATGGGGGAAGATTGGTACTCGGGAGGTTGCTACTGAGGAATGGTGCTAACAGTAGCTGACAACACCGATAGGTAGAGGTCATGAAGGCCGGGATTGTTGGAGCGTTGACCTATAGCATTCTCGCCGGCTCCAAACCACCCTGCGAAGAGTTGACTTTTATTTCGAAGTCAAGTGTTGGCGAACCTACGAAATGAAACTCGACTCTCCCACTCTGGTCAGAATAGTTTTGGTTGTACCTATAGGGCACTCCCCTATGTCACAAATTGAGTAGAAGCAACCCAAAAAAACAAAAACAGGTAGTACCGCCCCACCGTTTAATCTCAGTTACTCCGGGTAACTGCACGGGTTCCTCAATTCCTCATGTACACCAGGCAATGAAGGCAAATGAAAAATGGTCGGTTAGAATAAGTAAACAATTAAGTTCTGAATTTTGGTACAGTTGCTCATTGAAATGTGCTATAAACATAATGAAAATCTCTGCCCGGAGATAAATAGGAAAGGGGAGTAGTTTGAAAGCCGTTTTCGAAAATATTTTAAGCGCTATCGATTTTAACTACAAAGTTCTTTTTTTTTTTTTTGGAATTTATTTCATAGAATCAATATTTTGGGAGTGTATAAAATATCTAATGGTATTTTATTTATAAATTTTTGACCAATTTTAATAATAAAATGCTGCATTTTACCCATGGTAGCATGGGCATGGATCCGGTTAATTCCTCATACCGTAGCCATGTTTTCATTTAATAGTAACTAGGAACATGAGATGCAACGGAATAATATTTTATACATAAATGTTTAAGAAATATGGTTCATGTATATTTTGCACTCAGTATATGTCTACAATTCTACTGCCCCCGATGTACTGTAATAGGAGTATATTTTCAACCATATTTATTAAAGCGTAAAATATATTTCAGAAATCACCAGATAATATCAATAGAGACTCAGGCAGGATACATGAATTTTAGATGAGATGTTTTCAATGATTATTCTCAGAGCCGAATACGATAGTTTAGAATAAGGAACATTGTTTTAAAAAAGGGAAGCCTTCGCGTCGTTCGGAGATGTTAGGATCTGTTTACTCCAAAGCTATGGATCCTGAATTTTCTACTTTAATGTCATTCGAGAAAAGTAAATTAGGTTGGAAGCGATCCCAAGCAAAACGGTAGGAAACAGTAGTTGCACAGATTTAAAACGCTGAAATCTTAGACAAACTTCGAAGATTCACACATTTCCTGTCCTAAAAACGACTATTTTAAGGCTAAAAATAATTAAATGAATGCTTATTTTAATGAGATTTCTCGTGATTAATTCTACTTTTTTTTATTTCAGAACGTTTAATTCCAATTTTGTTTTTATTACAAGTTGGGTTTTGAATAAATGCAAAGCTTTCCTACCTTTGGTAGTGAGGAAGCAATAAGAGCATCATACACTTTTAGTCCTAGCTATTAACCGAGGATGAATTCCTAAGGAATAACACTGAGCCACAGGCGGATCTACGGGGAGGGGAGGAGGGGACTTTCGGGCTGAAGCTCCATCGTCAAAATGGTAAAATATTACCATGTCTCATGAAAATAATATGATCTCTAAATGTATTATTGTTCGTATAATTATATTTAATAGCACTTCAAGAATCGTTTAAAGACCATCTCGTATAGAGAGTTACTTTCTTTCTTTTTCTATAATTTTCGTTATATTTAAAAAAAAAAAGTCTTTCGGGCTGAAGCCCCTCCCCCTAAATTAAATCCTGGATCCGCTAGTGCACTGAGATATACTTTCAGTTTCTCCAGTATCTATGCGATTTCCCTAAACAATAATTTTAGGTCATTATATTAGGATTGAACTATTATTGTATTTTGAAAGTAAATTAATACTTTTTGGACCTAAAAATCTATGTATGATTTAGAACTCCCATAGGAGGGGGTCAGTATCAGGGGTGCCCACCCTCCCCAAGGTCGATGGCGAAGTAGCTATCCTCACCATTCCCAAGATATTTTGTTGCTCACCTTTTCTTAATCAACAGAGTTAGCGAAGGTAGTGTTAGAAAAATCGTAGATGATAAACAAACTTCTTTTTTTTTTTGTTCTTCCCTATCTCGTATAATAGGCTATACGGGGTTTTCCCGGGCAGAGGGTGAGTGCGGGAAATTTACAATCCCTTTCGGCACCGGGACGCCAACACGTGCTTTTTAATCTTTCAAATCTTAAAGCTTGCCCAGTAACTCGCAGAGCCCATCAAAAGTTTTGATGCCGCAAGTTGCGCCACCGAACCCTTTTCTGGGCACTCCTGGTCAGTGTCATATGACATTACTGGATATAAGTGAGG